GGCACAGGTTTGGGCACATCTGGTGAGACCAACATTTGGCCACAGACCAAAGATGTGCACCTCTTATTGTTTAGTTTCAGCTCACACGCAACTGAGAAGAAAAAAAGAGGAATCTTGTTACAAATAAGTAGGTTTTTATAGGGACCACACTAATAAACATGGAGTAAAACCAGAAAAGCCTAAAGCTAAAACAGGGGTTTGTTGCTAGGGGTTTCTGCTGTTCGGGTAGATTGGTTCTTAACTTGGTGTCTCATTGGATCATTTAGACAGCAACTTTTAAGCAATGAATTGGTGTTTGTTTCTTAAGAAAATATGGCCTAAGTTGGACTAAATCGAGTACCTCACCAGGCTGCAACCGTTAGTGACAAAATGCAAACAACATTCAAAAACGTCTCCAAAGCTGGTTTCAAAAGACACATCATGGCGGCATGTCAGGGTGAAACTGCTGCCACGGTGTGTCCTTTGAATGCACGTTGGTGGCATGGCGAGGTGAGAATACAGCACCATTTGTGCCGCCAAGCTTCATTGTAATATTGCTGCGGACTTTTGAATCACGCCTTCGCACAACAGAGGGTGATGCCATCAATACCTGTTTTTTTGTGTGCTGAGCCCTTGCCAGCAAGAACTGTTAAGAGGCAAGTAAACAAGGGGAGTCCATGTCACATTTATAAACAGTATCAGCTGAGGCAGCAAACCGGAGTGAAGCAGAGACGAGGGAGCTTCTGGCTGTTAGAGCTGAAGCACAGATCACATGACAGGTCACGGGGGGGTGGGGGTGGGGGTGGGGGGGTTGTAAAAAATTGTTAGCTCTTTTTGACACAACACACCAACAAATCAGCAAAATATTGCATTGGTGGGTCTTATAAACGCGCCATGCCGGCTTGGGTATGCATACAGTACATTTTGTGGCATTCATTCCGCCTTGCATGGTTGTAATATTGTGGTAATTATCTGTCTTATAAACATGATTGTGCCTTGGCGCAACAGAGGGAAGTGTCATGATCACATGGGAAGCTACTGCCGAGCTCAGGCCGGCAACTATATTGAAAATGACAGCAAGTAAGATTTGCTTTGTTAACTAAATCAGCTGAGATGGTAAATTGGAGCGCTGCAGAGCTCCAGGAGCTTCTCTCTGATAGGGCTGGAGCTCAGATCATCAGAGGCTGCATGGGGACTGCGGAGGACAAACACCTTTAGGAACGATTTGTTGAAAAACTTAATGAGAGCAGCTTCAATTGCAATAAAAGCAAGTTATGTCCAAGGTAAACGGTAGTCTGCTGCTGCTCATGGACCGCCCCCATGCCCCCTTTATACCACCATCGTCTAATCTTTAATTAAGAGGACATGATTTTGCCATATTACTGCCACGGTCTGACCACTTATAAACGACCTAAGGCTCCGTGAAGCCGCCACGGCGTTGTGGTGAATTGACAGCATTGTTTTGTAAAAATGGCTTTAGGGAGTGTGACTTCAGTCAGGATAACAAACAAGTTACGTCCAAGCTAAAAGCATGTCCATGACAGAGCGTCAACAATATATACACCACCCTCACACCCCCTTTATCCCGCCATCACAGAACTTTTTAGTCAAAAGCATCGATATTTGTACTGGACATGTAATGTCCATAGGCTCAAATTATAAGTTTTTATTTCCAAATGGGAGGTTCCCACCACCGCCTTTTTGATCATGTCACTGCCAACCCACGAAGCTAAGAAGGGGCTCCGGGGACTGAGGTAGACCACCCGCTTGACCGACTGGTTTCCGTGCAAGGTAGTCATGCTGGTCGCTTGTAGAGATCCAATGTGGACCAGGACTGTTAAATTACAAGCAGAGTCTCAGACTACTGCAGTCCTAGCTGGCCGCCGTGGCCTTTTACATCAGCTCAAGCTCCGTGGTCTGAGAGCAGCGGGAAATTAGCTATATGCTAACCTGAAGCTAACATAGTTTTTCTAGGCATTTTAAGCAAGAAAAACACAGTAGAGCGACTCTGAATCGAAGGCACCTCCGGCCTGCTTAGTTAACCAAATCATAACTAGGTAAGCTGTCCGAGGATATCAGGCTTCGCCGGTCCACCAAGGTCAAAGATCGGCGAGTCCACCGATATCAACGAGCTGGCTCTGGGAGTCGACGCTCCGGCCGGAGACGGGACTATTGACTAGGCTACTGGCGCTGTGTATAGAATTTCCCCCCATTCAACTATTCAACTAACAACAAACTATTGCAGTGAAAAATGCAATTGAGTGATTCAAAAGTGAAGCAGCGTCAACAAATAAGAGCTGCAGTGTTTCTGTAGTCTCCCTCAGAGATCCACAAATGACCAGCGTGACTAGCCTGGAATTAGAGTCAGCCCGGCTGCCCCGAGAAGCAGGGACAGCCAGCCGCTTGCTCTAACAACTGTTCCCGGACAGGAGACAGGAGAAGCCGGGCACCCTCTCAAGTTTCTTATGCAGCCCCACTGACATGTTTGACCAAGCAGTTAAATGACACAGCCATGGGTGTCATGGGTGTAAACTACATCTATTAAACCTAAAATAGTTTTTTGAACCAGGCCGTAAACATGTTTACTTCTGCTGTGAAATAGGCATTTTCAACATGGAACTCAATGGTTTGATCAATTCTGGTACCAGCCCCTAGAGGATGAGGATGGAACTGCAACTTTTGTCACTTCCTTGTTGGCTTCATTTTCATCCCAGAATTATGGGGGCCTGGTTAAAATATTTACGCCACATTACCATCACAGGCTGACCAAAGGCTCCCTGATGCCACGTCCACTTTGCGACAAAGTGGCGCCATTGTTTTTTGAAACAGGCCTAGACTTTCCTAAGGGTTTACAGTTCCCATCTGATCTGCAGAGACTCTTCTGCCTCCAGAGCTTTGGAAATATGCAAAAATGCATGACATTTTTTTCTAATGATATAGTTGTTGCAAGTGTCTGGAAAATAGCTGAAACCAGTTTCATTCTAGTTTCAGGAGGGTTGTGAAAAATGAGACATCTTTGGTAGGGGTGGAGTTGAATACAGTTTGAACACATCAATACACTTAGTAATTAAAATAGAAATAAGTGTTTTTTAATGATGTTTGGAAAAAAGGAACAATTTATCAGTTTTGACACACAACAATGATGTCAGCATTGATCTGGACTCGGGAATGGAGATCTAAAAACAGAACAAACTATTTAGTTTGAAGCTCCACCCCCTCTGTGTAAACATGGGACATTGTCCTGAATACAATTTTAAAAACATTAGAAATAGTTTTCCCAGTTACTGGTTTTTGTTTACTCTCATCTTCACCTTGCTGCTATGTTTTCAGTTGTTTGTTTGTTGTTTATTTAACACATTTGATGTATTTGATGCTTAACACAAGAACCATGACGTGAGCAGGTGAGTGGGCGGGGCTTACAGACCCACAACCTGAGAGCTCAGACTCAGGTTCTGAAAACACAACAGGGCAGCTCCTGAAGTCAGGATATCATGATTTCACTTTTAAACAACAGAAAAAGGTTAAGATGCCTGACCTAGAAATTATACACACACCAGCCACGCCGTTTGTAGAGTAACTGGTGAACAGAAATATGTTATCAACCAATCATATGGTTGATTATATGTTTACCTGCTGAAGTTCAAATGCAGAATCAAGAATGGAGAAGACAAGGGACTTTAACATGACATGATTGCTACCAGATGAGCTGGTCTGAGTATTTTGACTGTCTGATCTACTGGGATTTTAACCTATACCCATATGGTTACAAAGAATGGTCCAACCAGGATCTGCAGAACAGCATCTCTGAAGTACAAGATCTACTCCAGATGGACTCCAGAAGCAGAAGATCACACGAGGCGTCTCTCCTGTCAGCTAAGAACAGGAATCTGAGCCTAGAATTCACACAGGATTACCAGAACTGGACCAGAATAACCAGGGGAAACCTTTCCTGGTCTGATGAGTCTGGATTTGAGCTGCAACATTCAGCTGGTTGGGTCAGAAACCGATGTCTCCAACATGGGTCCATCCTGCCTATAGTTCAGACTGCTGCTGGTGGTATAATAATGTGTGTGTGTGTGTGTGTGTGTGTGTGTGTGTGTGTGTGTGTGTGTGTGTGTGTGTGTGTGTGTGTGTGTGTGTGTGTGTGTTCTTGTCCCACTTGGGACCCACCTGTGCCTGGTTTAAACACCATTCTTAACCTTGAGTATTGTTGTTGACCATGCTGATGCTGTCATGTCAAAATGGACCAGAACCTCTGACAAATGTTTCATACACCTCGTTGGGTCATGGTGGTTCTGAAGGTAAAATGGGTTCCACCTAGATGTGTCTCTGTGATGTAGTGGAACCAAAACCAATGACATCCAAACTAACGATCTTTACCTAACTGATTTTTCCCCCCACAATCACCAACAGTGAAGAAACAACAATCAAAGTGGACCTCATCCTTGTCCTGAATTATTGTATGCATACTCCTGCAGAAACGGAGTGACCATCTCATGATCGATACCTGATCACCATGATGTGTGACACAAAACGGTTGTGACTCATGCACACACTCCGTCCCTCTCACCATGTTTGTCATCCTGCAGACCTAATTGGCTAAGTTTCTTTGTTGCCATGCTGGCCAGATTTCAGACTGTGGGGGAATCGGCTGCCTCTCGCAGCTGACTAGATTACTTATGAAAACAGTGTTATTGAGATAACCGGATCATGTTTTCTGATGGGAGGGAGGAAAAGAACAATAGTAGCCTGTGAGCTGGAGCTGCTCAGACTGTACCTCCTATAGAGGCCAGCACCAGAGCTGTGATTTACAGCATCATCAAAACCACAACAACAAACGTGAAATGTTGAATTATTTGTATGACTGTGAGAAGGGGAGGTCTTATCCTGGAATGGACCAGATAGGCATGCAGCTACTAAACCCTAATTGTCTAATGAGATCAAAATGGATTATAATAATAAGTTCAGAAGATGAGAAACCTGCACAAACCCACGCAGGATTGGGAGGCGGTTCTCCGTACCTGCTCGGGGCCTTGGAAACAGATCCGGCACTGGGGGGTCCGCAGGCTGCTGGCAGTGCTGGTCAGGGACACCGCGTCCAGGCCCACTTGCAGCTTGGGCTCCTTGTCCTCGAAGGCCAGGCTCCGGGACCGCGGGTCGCTTCCGTAGTACTCCTCCTCATCGTCCCTGGAATGGCAGTCGGCGAACGGCGGCCAGCCGCAGCCGCCCATCCCCAGACCTCGCATGGCGGAGGACCGTCGATCTGTGTCTGAACCGGACTGTCGTGAATCGGATCGCATAAACACCAGAACCTTCAGTTCGTTAAAAAACATGCGGATCCGATACTTGAACATGTTTGGCTCAAAAACAGTCCTCCAGATTTATTATTATTATTATTATTATTATTATTATTATTATTATTATTATTATTATTATTATTATTAGACCATGTTAAATTGGGGTTACTTTATTGTCACAGAGATAAAAGCTCTCGCCCTTCTGATGGCATGTGTGTGTGTGTGTGTGTGTGTGTGTGTGTGTGTGTGTGTGTGTGTGTGTGCGTGCGTGCGTGCGTGCGTGTGTCTAAGCCAATGCGGATGGAAGATTTCCCCTTTCAGCTGGCCGAAACACTCTTTCAATATTCATCACTCAAACAAGTCAGCGCAGGCCGTCCAGAAGCGTCTCCCACCGACCAGTAAACATCACAACCTGCACGGTTCGTGGCTCATGGTCCAGTTTCTGCGTAGATCTTTTTTCAGACGGTTGTGTAAAAAAGCCTACATGTTTTGCTACCCAAAGCAGAAAACAGCCACAGAGCGAACAGAGGAAGGAAACCGCGACATGCCATCCACACAGTCACATCTGGGACTCTGATCCAGAATCATAATCCAAAACGAGGCAAAAAGGAAAACCGAAGACCAGAGGTCGTGATGAGAGAAATAATCAGGCTTATTGTCTTGTTTTTATTGTCCCTCTCTGAGCATTCCGAGCAGATCGCCGTTCCCCTCCTGTTATTTCCCTTCTCTCCTGCCTTTTCGCATCTATTCCATCTCCTTTCTGTGGAACCCGACCAGAATCCGAGGACAATCGGTGCCGCTCGCTTCGACGATCCACTTCGAGCTCCTCATCCACAAGAGCCCGAGCATCTTCAGCAGCTTACACCAGAGAGCTCCATCTCTGATCTCAACTCGATGCCCATCAGCGTCTCAGCGCGCTGAGGGACTTAAAGTACGGGGTCGCGTGGATACGCTGAGTATTGGATCAGTTGGTTCTGATCAGACTGCTGGCGCTGATTTTCCTCCTCGAAATGGTTGGCTTGGAGATTGAACCAACGCAGCCGCTACTTCCGGAACAGGGAGGGATGGGGGTGGGGGGCTGTCCGTCATCCTAACAGCTCGCTCCTGGTCTCCGCTCTTCCGTCCTCCCCTTGTTGGTGGTGCGCCTCACCCCGTTGCTGGCCGGTGCAGAAGCCGCCCTGCTGCCCGCTGATTTTTGAGCGCTGTCCAGGGTGCTGACCCCCACCCCTCCCCTTTCTGGTGATGTGTCGCTGCGGCCACATGAAACGAAAGCCCGCTAAGTCCAAAAGGGTCGGTTCTGTTGAAGACCACTTCGAGCGATGGGGATGTGGGAGGGAGGGGTTTAGAACCGGGAACGCCAGAGCCCACCACAACTCTCTGGTCCCAATCCACTGTCGCTAACAGAACGAGAAATAAATGAGCTGCAAACATCTGACAGAGAACAGCTTAAAAACGACCAGAATCTGAGAAAATACTACAAAGATTTCTCAAGCAGACAATATAGGTTATCCTGTTAGACCCTGAATAGCGTAAAAGATCACAATGAAATAAACTTTAAAGGACTATCAAATGTCAAAAGGCCAAAAACTTCCATCTAAATGTTGAAATCTGAACATATAAATCACAGTTAAGAACAAAATGTAACATACCAAAATAAAAGCGTCTAACGTCACAGAATCATCTCTTAAAGTCTGAATAATTTATGAAAAGTTTTATAGTATTATCAAAGGGATTAAAGTCAATTTTTCTAAAGTTAATGATTAAAATAAGAATCAGAAAGGTTTGCGAAGTGAACACAGATCATAATTAAACAATCAAGTGACACAAAAAAGATGTCAAACAGATTTTAGAGCCAGACAGACTCACTCACTTTCTGATCAGTTATCCCCCACAGGGAGCTGATGTCTGTCTCCTGCTGTGAAGCAAGAGACACAGGACAAGTCTCCAGTCCATCACACACACACACACACACACACACACACACACACACACACACACACACACACACACACACACACACACACACACACACACACACACACACACACACACACACACACACACACACACACACTCAGTTTCCACTCTGGTGCATCTATACCATTCAGAAACACGATCGGTTAGTAAAACGCTCCACTAAACCTGAAACCTCAGTGGTGATGTCAGGCTCAGAAGGGTTAGTTATCATATTGTTAGGCTGAGGTCTCATTTTCAGCTTTAAGAGATGATGTTTCTCTTCTTCTCTGCTTCATAGCAACAATTCCCTGAACATCCCGTCACAATCATCTTGATTGGTTACTGGTGTTCTGCTTTGGGTGGATTTAAGGTAAAACTCTTGTTTTCAGAATCCGTGGCAGGCCTCAGCTCCTGTGGCGGTCCCCCTTAATGCATTTTCAGCGCTGCTCTCAGCGGTGTTTGTATCATGGAGATTAGCCTGATCATTTGTTTATCGACTTCTGACCATCAGAGCAGCATGGGACTGGGTTCCTTCTGCTCACTATGTTCCCGCAGGAGATTATATCCAGACAAGAAGATGCCAGTACACATAACCAAAATAAACAGTGGTGCCAGAGGGAGTAATACATGATTACAAGGTGTGGGAAGGCTTGTTTTACTCCAGGACTGTGCTGGGGATGGGGTGGGGGGGTGGGGGGGGGAATCAGCATTTATGGTTAATTGAGTGTAAACATAATTTCCCTAACATTCTATTTCCCTGTCCCCTCTTCTCCACCTTACCATGGTCTTCTGATTAGTTTCATCAGAGCTGGTTCCCAAAATGGCTGTTCTGATCAGTGAGCCACAAAAGCTGTCAGTTTACAGCATTCTCTACAGACACACAGCTGCCATGTTCTCTCCGTTCATCCACACAGATCCACCCCAGCACTCAGCAATCTTATCAGGACTTTGATTAAGCTATAGGTACCAAATTCTCACAATACTTTATTAAAGAGGTCCTTCACAGAGAAAGTGTTTTTATTTGTTGAAAATTATCACTCTGACTTTTTCTGAACATGAAAATAGTCTCCTACACCTATCTCCTCGTTAGCTTCTAATAGAAAATAGACGGTGAAACTCTAGGATTTGAAACTCCTGACAGATCATGGACTCACCCTTCTTGAGTCACAACGAGGACGGATGTTGTTGGTTGAGCATCCAGGAAACAGAGGAGAATGTCCAGACTAGTAGAAGCTAACCATTAGCATTAGCAGTTGCACCCCACAGCAGAACTTCTTCAGACTGGTGTTATATGAGGACTCAGAACAAAAAACTCGGCATCAAATATTTTCAAGTAAAATTACAACTTCATTTGTGACACCATGTGTTTAACTGTGATCTGAAGCTGCAAAGCAGACTGGGAATATTTTCATAACAGCTGTGAAAACTGCAATGCATGATGGTTAAATGATGTGTTAGGCGCTACTTGTGTTTCTGGTTTACAGTTATAAGAAAGTCCCATCTCACCTGTTGTGGGTTGCCTCTCCTTGTAGACAAAAGAGCTTTTGCCTGATAGACTAACTGTTAGTCTGAACACAGCGAAATCTACCTTCTGCATTTTGTCACCATGAACTGACTGACAGTGGTGGGTCGAGAAACCTCGAGTCACTGAAACGGTACAGTAAAAGGTCCTCTAAACAAAAACCTTCATGTCTTTTTTTCCCCTAAAATAAAATTTGTATACGCTAGAGCAAAAAAAAAAATAAGTTGATTGTTGAAGCCACATAGGGTGCTGGTGTCATAAAGGAAGCCTGATCATGAAAGGAAAGTCAGCTCTGAGTTAATTCTTCACCTGAAGAAAGTGGAGCTTGTGTCAGAAATGAAATGAGTCAGAACTACACCATGTTAAATAATAAAATGTAACAACCAACGTTAAAATAAAATGTATGCACAACTACTGAGCTGAGAGAGAAGCTTTAAAATCCAGACCCATTGGATTTGCTTCGGAAAGAGTTTAATTCTGGGTGGATTGATGAGCTAACAGCTAGTATGGGTGGGGTCACAAAGAGGATCTGTGCAGCGTTAAAGAACTCCAGTCTCTAAAACATCACAGGTTTAAACCGTTTCACTTACCAGCAGCAGCCTGAAGGACCGCCTGCAAACATATCTGAGATATTTCTACCAAAACAAAACTAAAAGCCTTCTAGAATTAGTTATTTACAGACATTGAGAGGCGGACAGTGTGAATAGTACTAATGAGAGAAGAATACTATAAATCGAAGCCAGGATAACAAAAGTTTTTCTAACTGTTCTGGTTGTTTGTGATCTATAAATAAAGTATTTTCTTTCTTTGTTGTTTTTGTGTCTTAAAATCCCAAAGGATGCATCAACAAAACAACTCAAGTATATTTTCATTACATTTTTTTCCCTTTTTGTTTCCAATTTGTGTAGAAAAACTTTTGTCCATTAAGGAATTTGAACTGTTTAAACCACCCAAGCCTTGGTTTTAACCTGTGCTGGCCTTCAGAGAGTTCTGACAACATACATCCTGCTCTGTTTCATTATTGATAGGCCATATTGACCTGTTTGTCTCTCCTCACTGATGAGAATGATTTACCTTCCTGTGTCTCCTCGCAGCACTGTGAGAGGAATTCAGAAACAGCTCCATTAAAACAGTCCAGGTTCATGCTCAGACGTCCTGTTCCATGTGTTGATGCAGCAGGAAGGAGCCACATAAACATGTTTCCTGTTTCTCACAAAGGGCAGCTGCTGATGTGCACAAAACCACTCATTTACTCAACTCACTCCTATGCATGTGACATTCAATACAAACACACACACACACACACACACACACACACACACACACACACAAATATATATATAATTTAAACTACTAAGCAGTGGCTAAAGTGTGACACAGAACTGAGAGCTGCAGAACATTTGATAAAAAGCTTCAGCTATGGATCCTTTCTGTCAATAAAAGTAACAGCTACAAGATGTTGATCATCCCAAGGGATGAGATAAGTGACCCAGCAGATTGTTTACGGGTGAAACTGAAACAATGACAAAGGAGAAGAAAAACTAGAGGAAACTGGTGCGAATCACGGACCAACAAGCTGCAAATTCTGGACCTGGTCACTGGTTCCTTTGGTACTGGGCCAAACAGAAAAAAAATTACCATTTTGTTACCTCAATATAATATCATTAGTGTTAGTCCACAGGAATAAACTGTGTGTTAAGTAATTTTTCTTGTTTATTTCAAATGTTTTCTGCTAAAACTATTGCTTTGGTATAACTTTGCTAATAAAATAGTCCAAATTGTGCTTGAGTAAAATGCACATCCTAGAGAATCCTCTAAATGATCCACTGTAGGTCAAAACAAGGAGGCAAGGTGACACTTGAGTAGCAGGGACTATCCAGTTACCAATTTCAAAATCTAGTAGCAGCATAAAATGCATCTCAGTACTAATGTGTGTATGTACAGAGTGAGTACTCTAAATAGTATTACTACTGTGTATTGGTACCCCAAGTCTTAATTCATTAACATGATTATTATTGATAAACAAACATGGGTGGAAACTGAAAATAGTTTCTGTAACTCTTATTAGTCTAAACTCTGATATATGATTGATGGATGAACTGAATAACGCGTCTAAAGCTTAAAGCTGATCTAGATGTAGCTCCTCCGCTGAAAACCTAATTAATTAATCCAGCCTCTGGAAAAAGCCCGAGTAAAACCCATTCCCTGTGATATACGGGACCAGATACTAAGATCCTGTCTCCATGGGTCTGCGGAGCCCATGCTATATCTGTAAGAGGACAGATGGCCATCCCTGTTGGCGCCACTCTCCACAGCTTCTCCAAACTAATACACCCAGCATATGGACACTCAGGAGGTCCTGCTGGCAGGACAGAATCTGCAGATATGCTGCAGGTTCTGAAACACCAGAACCTCAGAGTCAGGGGTTTACTATGAAACACCAGCAGTCTCGATGATGGAGAGTTCTACACAGAACCAACAACCTTAACCTGCGTAACCTTGGTTGAAAGGTATCAAGATAATTTCCTTGTCGTTGACGCTGTTTTTCTATCAGAGTGTACTTGAGCTCTCCTTCTGCTGTCTCCACAGCGCCGCTACTTTCCTTCTGGCTCCATCCCTGCTGAGAGGATTAATGGCATTCTGAAGGAATATCACATGGAATCCAGAGAGAATTCATTTTAGATCTACCGTGTCAGTACCATCCACACCCCAACTGGGATGCAATACTTCTCTGAGATAGCAGTCAGAGGAAAAGGCACCTGAGCATGTAAGTCCTTTAGACGTGTCAAAGCAGAGCTGGATGGAGAACAAAAGGCCTTGGCTCGCTCTGTGCTGGCGTCATGTGGAACATGTCAGGGTCTTTACCCCGTTCCCAGAATCTAGAGACCATCATGTCCAATAAAATAGGTTGATTTGGATTAGACTCAGATTAGCTTATTCTCTCCAGGTGATGTAAGGTTGCTAATGAAGGCATCTTCATTAAGGCGATAAAACACATCAGATCTGAGAAACATGAAGGTTTTAGAGAGTTAACGTGGTCTGCTCCTGAGTGATCCTGCTGAAGAGCTGAAACATCAAACCCTTCCGTTCATGGATTAGATTAACATCAGGATTACCTTTAGGCATCAAATTTAAAATTTACAACATAATTATAAAAAAAAATTACTTTTCAGTTTATCAAGTTAAAACGGTAAGACGGCTGATCGCTCTGATGGATCCACAGCTGCGGCCAAACATGTTGAGATGACGTTTTCTCTGATGAATCTTCAGAGGTCTAGAGAGGAAAAACCTCTAGATCAGGGGTGTCAAATATGCGGCCTGCGGGCCGAATCCGGCCCGCAAGCGGGTTAAATGCGGCCCGTGACATGGTTGTGTAAACTTTATTTTCATACTTTACAATGTAAAGTTAAAATAAACTTATCTTTGTGAGCAAGTTTCCTCTGTAATGAGTATAAATAAAACAAAGCTGTGCTCAAGGCTCACACAAGAACTTGAATCACATCCTGAAGTTGGCTGCCACTCAGGATGTGACTCCTAATATTGATGTGCTGGTGAAAGCTAAAAGATGTTAAGTAAAATGAGTCAAATATACTTTAAGTGCTGCATGGAACTGATCTAGCCACGTGATCTGAAAGCTCTTTGAATCACTAAGGAATGTTTTTTATTATTTTTTTCACATTTTCAAATACACTTCAGGTGTTGTACTTGTACTATTTTGGATACACTGTCCCCAGGCTCCGGCCTTGTTTTATATTGATTGTATTAAAACAAAGAAAACAATCTGAAGTTGTTTTTAATTTACCGGTCCGGCCCACTTGGGACTAGATTTCTCGCAATGTGGCCCCTGAGCTAAAATGAGTTTGACACCCCTGCTCTAGATTATTTGATTTCATCTAGGTTTACAGTCAGCCTGCATCCTGCCAGTAGGTGGCAGTGTGGGGCTTTTGTGCAGACGCACCATCAACCACCAGTCAAAGACAATTAGCTGGCTGCAGTTGTGATCTCAATATTTATTAAAAGTCGAACACAAACTCAAGGGACATCATTTGCAATTTGAAGTTTTATTATTTGGAAAACTAAGTTTCAAAAGTTGAAGACACATTTCAACAACATGTGCACGAATTCAGGATGAATACGGCGTAAGATCGGTCAGAATGTTTCGTTTACATCAACGAGAACTCCAAACCAGCAGCACACAACTTACATCAGCAAAGATGACAGGTTCAAGTAAGACATTTCATTACAGATTGTTAGTCCTTCAGGTTAAGAGCAACAAAAAGTTATTATTTATAAACAGCAAATGTCTAACATCAAGAAAATTAAACATCAACACCACAACATCTGCTCAATGTGCATAAAACTTAAATAGATTCAGAAAATATTTAACAAGCATAATTTACAAAGTATTGAACACTGATAAATGTAAAATGCAGACATCACAAAATAAAATGCAGAAAAGGTTCACTGCTTCCATATTTAAAAACAATGATTGCAACAAGAAGCACATCCTCACAATTAACATCTCAAAAAGATTTAGTCACAACCGAAAAAAACGGGTATTTTCCTTCTAAAACAAACACATGATCATGTTTATTTGTGATTTATTCCTGTTACACATGTGGCAACAACTCATTCCACTTTTCTACAACCAGAACCTAAACTACACCACGTCACTGTGCAACACACCGGAAACATACGGTGTTCAACACAGAAAGTGTGGATGACGAAACGGCGGACCTATCCAGAATCGTGTCCGAGCTACAGCGTTCTAAATGAAACTATGTACAAGGCTGCAGTCTGTGGCATCTGAATGTTAGTTGGCTCAGTTACAGTTCACAAATATCCCAAACCCAATGACTAGCAACAACTAACCTGGCCTCTCCGACATGTGGGAACTAAAACAGACGTGTTTCAGACCTACGTTACACCAGGCTTCTCCTGCTCAGCCCAGAGCAGGACATCAGTAAGGTGGTGACACGACACGACTCACAGGAGGGAAACTTCAAGGTGCATACAGGTTATTTTTTGCCAGTCACTAGTTGGCATGTGGGATGTGATTGTGTGCGCGGGTGCAGAACACATGCAGGGATCTTTCATCACCTGTGAAACAGCAGACCTGTGCTCAAATCAGGGCCTAACAGGTAAACCTACCAGAAATACGAGTTGTCCTATCATTCACGAGCTTCCAGGTGAGGACAGGTGGGGTGTCTTCGGTAATGTTGTGCATTTCGTTTCTCAGTGTTGGTCAGGTGCCGAGTGATCTCGTCCAGTCTGTGTTGGTGCGTTTGCTGGGACTGTGTTTATAAGCCTGCCTCTTAATGTGTGTTATTGGGTGTCTAAAACTGCACATCCTGCGCTGCGATGGGGGGGAAGACTAAAGGAAAGCACTTGGGTTTGCCTGTGGATCCTTCTGGTTTCTGTAGCGCACAGCAAGCCAGACGCCCAGGATCTGAGAGAAAAACAAAAACAGACTGTAAATCAGATATTTTCCTCTGTGCTAGTGACTAAAGTTAAAGGTGTGTATTTCCCCGTTCCTCTGGTGCTAAACTCTGATCTTCAGGAGGTACATAGCTCCACTTTCCTATGTATACTCTGAATTCATAGAACTGCTTTTGTTGCTTCTACTTTAGAGGAAAGAAGCATCAACGCTGTAGCTAAACGGTGATTAAGTTAAAAATCTAATTAACACAGTAAAAGATGGGGACACACCAGCCTCATGTCCAAATTCATGATTGTCTAGTAGTAGCCTGAAATCTTGAATGATAGAGGTGCGAATCTTCACTTGTCTTCCGATTCGATTACGATTATTTGGTCAACGATTCAATTCGATTCGATATCCCGATGCATCACGATTATTTCATATTGATTTGTTTTCATCGATAAATAGAAGATGTCAGATAATTGCTTTTTATTTTTATTTATTTTTTATCAAAAACGTAAGTGGCACAACCTGCCATCCCTCAAAAGCTCTCCATTAACAGGTTAGGACAAAACATTTTAAACATTTAAGAAGATTTAACAAAGTTAAACAATCTGTTTCCTCGTTCAACACCTCGCCTCAGGCTGAGAAAAACACGCTTTGCAAAAACTCACAAAATCTAAAAATGTACTGAAAACCTACAGGACACATAATGTAATAATAAAATACATAATGGGTTCATATATGAGTGTTTAACGTCTCTGAGCAGCTCTAGAGTCAAATATTTATGCCGCAGTTGAAGGGTGTCAGAAATAACACCAAATGAAATGTTTGACTTAGTTTGTTATTTTATTTGAACCCAGTGGTTCATTTCTGAAATGTTGGAGAATGAATCAAGTTCTGTTTGATGCAGAAAATAATAAAACATAAAACAAATTCTACACTTCTAATAATATTTAAGATGTGTGTTTTATTCTTTCTGATAATAACACCAGCAGAAGGCTGTGGGCTGGATTAGGATTAAATTACCCAGCTGATGGATCTCCTTCACTAACCAGCTAACTACAAACCTTTCCACTAACCTGTCCTGTGTAACCCTCATGTGCATGCCGTCTCTGGAGGAGCAGATAGGAGACAGACTTCCTGTAACCTAAAATGAACCAAAGCTTCCTCCCAGTTTCTCTTTAAGCTGAATTTAACATCAGTTTATCATCACGAAACAAAAGAATAAAGTGGAACAAGAATTTCTATCTTCTATTTCTCTCTACTTTTAACTTCTCTGTGTCCCTAAATAAAAGAGACAGACGATCACGCTGCAGCCGCCATCATTGACCCCGCCCCCTCCCCAAGACCAGATCTCCCGGCATCACAACACTCAGTCTGACTGAGCGCTTCCAGGAGAAATATTTAAATTATGAAAATAATAATGTGTGTTTGGGGCATCGGTTTGGAGGAGCCTCCTCCGATCCTCTCTCGTGTGACAATGAGAGAGAGAGAGAGAGAGAGAGAGAGAGAGAGAGAGCGAGAGAGAGAGGGACACACACACACATTTAAATGGGATTTGTTGTGTTTGGGAGTTGGACTCTCACCTCTGAGAAGCTGAAGAAGAGACCCACGCCCCCGAGGATCTTTAGAGCCTCTGTTGCATGATTCAGCATCTTTTCCCCGCAGAGTGAACAGGTGCCTTTGTTTTTGCATTGCTGGAGACAAAAATGCACAACAAATCAAAACTAAACATAGAAAAAAAGTGTTACGTGTTCACCAGCATGAGTCAGCAGTTCACCAGTTGAGTCAGAATCAGCTCCCAGCACACGTCCTCCTTACTGGGACACTCAGTGGGATAAGTATACTCCTACACTCTTCAGTCATTAACAGATCTTTTATTTCATTTAGAGTAACTGAAGAACAGAAGTTAAACACTTACAGCATTGCAGCTTTGCAAATCAGCTTTAAACTGCTGCAAGCTGTCGCTGGTGTTGAAAAGCCCACAGCAGTTCAGCTGATTCTCCAGGTTCTGTTTGGTGTTGTTCTCCAACAATCCCCAGGTGGAGTTCAGGAGCAGCACCTGGGAAAGAAAACCAAACAGGCAAAAGCTCCACGCATCATCAGAACCATTAATGCAAAAGATAATAAAAATGTTTGTTTATAAATCACACCGTGTGGACTCACCTGCTGCTTTTGGTTCATTGCCAAACAAGAACACGAAATTCCAAATTGGAAGAGGAAAACAATAAACAGAACCACCATGTACTGTGTGGGAGTCAAAGCAGCAACACAACAACAATGGATCAAAATTATGAAGAATTAAAATGAAAATTATCATATAATGGTTCTCTCAAGCTGGCTGTTTTACTCATCACTATTGTGTCAAAGCCGCTCCACAGAAAGGATACAAAGAAAAGCATGACTTGGTGGTGGTGCACTGCTCCGATGAGTCCTACGATGGCGATGAGCAGCAGGAAGAAGCCCACAGCGATGACCCCTCCGATGATGTGGATGCTCGACACCAAGCCGAACCCTTTCCCCCATGCTGCCACTGCAATCAGCAGAAGCCCAACAAGCTGCAGGATGGACAAATCAGTGGGACTCAGCAGAGGGTGGACACATTGACCGGATTCTGATTCATTTCCACAACAAAGCTCATCTGAGAAACACTATTCCAGGGTTTATAGGCCATAGGGTTGTCACGGTGTGAAAATTTAACCTCACAGTTATTGTGACCAAAATTATCACGGTTTTCGGTATTATCACGGTATTTTTTTAAACGTGTTACATTTTCAGACAACTAAATAAACCCTGTAGATCGGGAAAATATTGTCCTCAGTTTGTGTCTAAATTTTGCCTAAAATGTGTTATTTTGTAATTATGTTATTTGTTTACATTTTTCCCCTTTAGTCTTTACAATACCAATATTTGCCCATAACTTCTTGTTTTTTGTCTGTTTGATGTCATCATTTTAAAAATATTAGATCAGATGATACTCAGTACTCAAGTAGCCTTCTAATCAGATACTTTTTTACCCTTACTTGAGTAATAAACCATATATCAGGAAAATATTGTCCTCGGTTTGTGTCCTTCCAGTGAGCTTTGCTGATTTGGGAAAATGTCATAAATTTATAATTATTCTCGGAGAGAGACCAACTCTTATCTGCCCCTGGGAGCCCCGTAACGCATAGCATCACTTCAACATGGGGATGTCCGCGACACGGTTTATATGCAGGTAGTGGCGCTGCAGCTGCTTTATACAGTGACTCGTTGCCTTCTCCCTCAATCCAAATTCTCGGATCAACGCATTTTAGCTAAAGCTAACGTTAACTTGCCTTGCGTTGACCGTAGAGTTGTGGGTGATGGTCACGCAGATGTGTCATGAGATTTGAGGCCTTGCTGCCTTTCACAGACACTTTTTCTATACGTGCTGCAAACAGGATAGCCGTCTTCCATCAACTGTCCCTCGGTATTCTTCAAATATCCAAAAAATGCCCATACTTCCCACTTTGTCTTTTTTGAGGGATAAAAAAATGTCCTGAGCGATGCCGTCTCCTTCTTTGGCCGTTATTTCAGCTTTAGCTTCAAGAAAGTTTCGGTCGTAATTTCAAAGTGCGCATGTGCCGCCGGCAACTTCAGCAGATGATACGGTGGCTGGTAAGGGTCACCGCGCCTACACCGCAGCCACGGTAATCCGCAGAGATATTATACATTTAAAAAAACAAGACGGTTATTATTATTGTCATTTTTTTAACCAGGGTTTACCGCTACACCGGTTACCGTGACAGCCACTGTGTTGGTGAAGGGTAAACTGAAGAAACCAGGATAGCTAGTTTCATTTTTAGTGGTAACCACTTTGAGTGTGTGCTCATTTTCAGATTATTCAGTCAATTGTTTCATACATACAAAACTGTCTGATACAATTTAGGTTTAATTAAAAGTTACAAACCTTAATAAATCTGCTGTGTATTAGAAACTTTTTAGAGTGAATGGAGGAAACATTTATAGGTATTTTACAGTAATAGGGAGCTGGGAAGGAGAGCATACACACATTTCACACATTTTGATTTCCCAGAGTTCAGACTGTTGCTTCATTTACTTGAGGAGTTCCTCAGGGCTCCCTTCTGAGCCTAAGCCTATTCTTCTAACGGATTACACATTCAAGGTCCATTTATCACAAACATAAGGATCCTAAAAAGGTTCATATGTGGTGATTATTTATGGCCATGTTGAAATGTTATATTACATCTACAAGCTTGAGAAGTGGGGCGAAAAAAAGTTTGTAAAACTTTTCTGCCAAAAAAGGTTCCTAAAGACCTGCACCTAAGGTCTTGGAATGTCTTCCTTAACCTTTTATACTGTTTAGCATTAATGCTGCAATGAAAAATCAGCTAAACAAGCTAGCCTTTAAACAATAACAGTCACCGAACTCTCACCCCTCCCATTGGCCATCAATCTAATGTCCAATCATTGGTTTTGCACTGAGTCGTGTTATTGGCTGAGGATTTTAGACAAATGCAAGAGAACCACTTCCTTATTAGTTAAAAAAATGTTCATCTCCACAAAATATTTACTATACCATGTTAGAACATTGTTAAGAGGCATGAAAAAACATTAAACTAGTTTGTTTTGCAGTTTAGCTTTGTAGCTTTAAAAGAGAGCTAATGGACATTGGTCATGACAAAGGATGTGAACTAGTATAAAGGCCCAATTTGATTAACAAACCCAGTCTAACTAGCCACATAGAAGTTTAATTTACAGCAAAATCTTATTGTGTGGTGTTTTCACCAGAACTTGAGTTAAAAATGTTTGCTCATTTATCCTCCAATAGGTTCTGAAAACTATCTCAGCATAGCCACTAGATGAAGACTTTTACCTTGTCATGTTCAGCATACTGAGTGTTTTAAATAACACCACCACAAAACCAATAAAGTTGTTCACGAGATGATTCAGAACATTTAGTATGAACTGCTTTAGAAATGTCCTGATCAGGTGTGTGGGATGCAGTGACTCAGCAGCCGACTGCATGATTGGTGGCATACATGCTTCAGGTTCCTGAATGGGTAAGTCAAAGTCTCCTGTCACTGGGGCCATGCTGACGGGAAGGCAATGAGTCACAGTTCAAGATGAGATAATTATGCACCAACAGCTTTTATGACTATGTTGATCAAAAACACAACAGATCCTTTAATTAAAGGATGTCATGTGAAATACTTTGATTAGATAATGTCATAGGGGAACATAGTCCTGAACAATCCTGTGCCAACTATTCATTTAGGAGTCAGGAGGACTAATAAAGCAATAATTTAATCATGTTTCATTCATACTAACGTGACGGTAGACGGCCTATGGAGAAAAAAAAACAATGCGGTGAACCAAATCCCACTTTTATACAACAACATTAAACCTACACAAACGTGAAGTCATAGCTAGATAGGCACATAAAGGCTAAAGAGCAATAATGTTGACGAAAGATGGAGCGTTTACGTAAGCTGAACAGAGGGCCGAGTGTTTACACTAGCGGCTCATATGACTGCAAACGCATGAGCTGATTAGGTCCTGATGACAACAGCCACCGTCACCGATAACATGGCGAAAATAAAGCTTTCTATTTACGCAAGTATTGCCCGTTTCCCATTGTTAGCCTAGAGCCAACAACTACATTTGTGCGCACAATGACAGAAGCTAGCAGGCTAATAGCCACTCCTCCCTACGTTTCTAATCCTCTATCAAAGCTACAACACACAATGGCAGTTTATAAACAAACTATTATTAGAACGTGGTACATACCAATCACGCGTGGAACTAAACCAGAGTGCATGAGAAACGAAGTGTTACAGCATTAGTACTTTATGCGTTATAGCTAAAATGCTAGCTAGCTACTTGTTAGCATTACGCCACTCCATTCATCAGCTATTAACCTCCATTACTCACCATGTAAACAACATTAAGTGAACACAGCGCGTTCTTGGAACAGGTAAACCCGCCACACACCATTGTTACAGCAACGTTTTCCAACTGGGTTTAAAAGTAATAAAACAGGATGTCCCTGGTATTTGTTCCGTGCAGAACTGATCTAGAAAGCGAACAGGCCGCGAGTGATTCCGTCAGCACCGCACTGCACGTCAGGGTGGGGACTTCAAACAAACCTTCTTCCTCTATTTGGGTAAGCAACGTGAGGTGCATTACCGCCACCTACCGATCTGGAGTATGAACTGATACATTTCTCCCTTAAGCACGTGTCCCTTGCAACATTTCTCTGACCTACACCCATCACTTCTCAACTCTGCCTCCAGCCTTCTCCTCTCCCCACCACCACATTTTTCCTTGACCAGAGCTCTCCAAATATCCTCCTCCAAGACCACTGGGTCCATGGTGCTCCTCCCCTTCCTGAATCCACTTTGATACCGGGGCAACAGTGGCTTACTTTCAACAACAACAAAAAAAAAAAAAAAACTTAATCAGTCATTTATCATTTTTTCCATCACTTTACACAATGTTGATCTCAGTGCAACTGGCCTATAATTCCTGGGTTAGAGTCCTCCTTCCCTGGTTTGTGGAGCGGTGTTACCTTGGCCACAAACACTTTCATTCATCATGATTTTATTGCTCTGCTCCTCTGTCCTACCCACCTGTACCTCCACCACCTTCCTCCAAATCTCGCCTGATATTGCCAGCAGGCTCAGATGCCCTCCTTCCTCCTCCCTGCCAAACCCTAATATTATCTTCATTTCCTCCCTGACCACCTTCCTCCGAATCTCCACACTCCCCTCATTCGAGCTGACATCCTTCAACAGCCATTTACTATTACGTGTCTCACGTGATCTGGCTTTCTCTTCCACAGCATTACGCCCTCCCCAACCTCTCCTACCTACAACCGGCATCCAGCTCCCAGTTCCTACCTCACCATCCTCATCCTGAGGGGAGAGTTATTTTGTGTAGAGCGGTCCAGTCACAGATCGGTTTTACTCCTATCTGCCCCACTTGTGTCAGTTCCGTCAGACTTCATACACTTAATCAGACTTGAAAAACAAACAAAAAACAAACAAACTCAGAGTTCTCACACCAACTGGCTCCAGGAGGCAATCACTCTGGCTTGGCGCCAAACCCCTTCAAACAAATCTCCTCCTCCTCTTTGACGCTTCTCCGCGTCTGCTGTAGGTGGAGCTGCATCACTGCCATCCTTCGGGTTCATCTACATCCAAATATCCTCTTTTCCTCACAGTCCAGTTTTGTGCCCCAATAAAAAGGTTCCACTGATTTTAGTAAACAGACACCATTGATATAATAGGTTTGAGTGTGGCTTGTAAACCTTTGAAGATGAGTAAACCTTAGATTTGCTGGAAAGGAGGCATGCTGCTTGTACATATTGTAGATATTTTCCCTTTTGTGCAACTAAGCGAATGATGGAAAGTTATTAAAGAGATCCACAGTTGGCCAAGATCCTCTAAACACAGGTGTCAAACTCAAAATCTGGCTCAGTGGAAGGAACCTGGTGCTATCGTTTTAGCTGAATAAATAAAGATGTGATTTTGCTGTCCCAATGCATGGAACCTGTTCTGTTGTCACCTTCCTGTGGCAGACTCACACTCTTCAGTGCAGCACTCATAAACAGCCTATAGCGACGAGCACACTCTTAAATAAGGAAGTGAATTCAGTTCAGTTTGAACCTGCAGAGGAAACAGAGACTTGCATTGTCGTGATCTGTCTTTTGTGGTCTAAAGAGAGAGAGAGTGCATGAGACCCTGAGGTGCCTTCATCTCTTTTTGTTTCTGCTGCTTGTGTCGTGTTTTTGAGTTCTTGTGGAACCGGTCAGGAGCTCAAATGGGCTGAAGCAAGCCGTGCTTCAGATTAACAACCCATTCACACGTGAGGATGACCAGCAAATCGGTGTATTCTGCTGCGATAAAAGCAGAGACCAAGAAGCATGAATCACTTCAGCGTGCGCTCAGCAAACTCTCCAAGCAGTTTGAAAAAGTGGATGATCAACAGCTGCGTTCAGGCCTTAAGGTTAGCCTCCACAGCATTCAAGGTGAGATCGTCTTTGTTAAGTGGCTCAGTAAGACTTGTTTCTGGGTTCAGCTGAAGAAAACATCCTATTCTCTGTGCACCAACCCAGTGAAGAACTAAACAACCTATTACAACAAAAAAAAGTCACATTTTGACACGTAAAGCAGTAAGAATCACATGAATACTTTAACTTCATTAGTGTTTTAATCATCTTTGTTGGTGAAGTACGACTAAGTGATTTATTTTTGGGTGTGGATGATTGATATCTTCCTCTCAACTTCCTGTCAGCCTCTATCTCAGTCCATGCTACTTTACTATGGTGAGGACATTCGTTTTTAATCTTAAACCAAAAAAATGAACAGCTGTAATGAATGATCCTGTGGTGTTCAGCCTCTGAACATAGGATACCAATGGTGACATCCCTCAGCAGCCATCGCCATGGCAGCAAGATAAAACCTGCTGAGCCGCTTACTTCCTGTCTGCCAATCTGCAACTACCCTCAAGCCACTTCCTCTCTTACAAACAGGGCCTGTATGCGACGCTGATCCGTTTTACATCATGTCCTCGCAACGTCGTTCTTTCTACTTCCCATGCTGAACTGACAGAATGCATCACAGGTGGATTCTTGAGAACTGAGTTGCTGTAGAAGCAGCTAACGTGGGACCCAAAGGTCGGGGAGAACTCTGAATTTAGGATTAGACAGATTAAACGACTAGGGGAAGACGTACAGCAGAAAACTAACTTTATTAGAAGAAAGGGCCACCTTCCTACTTTTCACTCTGCCTAAATACATATTTAATTCGAGCATATCTGTTTTGACCTCTGTGTTCATGAAACACTTCAAGTTGCTACTGTTCAGCCCGAGTCACTGAAGGAAGCCATTCATTGATCCATGTTGTTACTAACCAAGTAGTCTTCAGCCGTGTCTCTTAGCCAGCTCGTTAAGAACACCACGAACTCACAAGTACAACACAGAAGATAGGAGGATTTAAAACAATTAAACTCAGTAAAATATAAAAAGTCACGACCAAATGTTTTCAGAACTCACACTTCAGTTATTAAAAAGTTTGCTGACTCAGCATTTGGATGACGGCCTGGCGTCAAGCAGGGCATCAAAGAAGCCACTTCCCTTCAAGAAATACACAGGACCAGTTTTACCCTCGTGAATGACTAGTAATTAATAAATTAATCAACAGCAAAAACATTAGTAGTTACATTGCTTTAAATAAAAAGTACCCCAGAGATGCGCTTCTTCTCAAACACTGAGCTTGCTTGGCAGGATATTTTTATTTCTGTGTCTCTTCACCAAACAACCTATGGCCCGGTGGTTAGGGACTGATGCTTTTAGCCATTATTATGGACTTCCACACCAGCAAAAACAAAAGGAAAATGAGTTTTAAAATTCACCTTAAGGACAACGAGGGTTTTAAACTTATACTAGATAACTATAATGATAACTTAAGAAGGTAATAATGACAAAGTGTATTTATGTTCATCTTTATCATCCTCGTGGTTTTAGATTCACTTTAATTTTGCATAATTTTCATCTTTGGGTTAGTGAACATCTTAATGAGATGTGCATTGCCAAGCGTTTGACCTGCTGTTTAAAGAGCTGTCTCAGGGTCCAGCGAGTTGGTTCTGAAACTGGGTCTTTAGATCTGACTGAGCTGTTGAGATTTCTTCTTCTGTGGTATTTTAGGTGAAAATGTTCTAAACAGGATGGTCTTAGCCTTTCATTAGGTTTTTTCTCACAGCATCGTTGGAAATCAGCTTTCTGACACATTTTGGCACGCTTTAGGGCCCTTTTAGGATCTGGCAGATGTTGATGCATCCTGAGAAGCATCCCCATGTGTTAAAATATTTTTTGTATTATTTGACCGCTTGAGCGGTTCAAAGCCAGCAAAGCCTTGGTAGGGCTTGGTTCTGTACTCGAAAGGGTCTGAGTAATGAGTGGGATGTGGTTGACCGCCTGTATGTTAAAGGACGTCTGAAAATCAAGGAAATTGAGGAAAGAAAGCAGCTAGGTGGTCCAGAGAGCTAAGATAGGAGGTTTAAACATGAATCAGGATAGGGTGTTCACTGCAGCATGGCAGCAAGGTGAGAGACTGAGAGAGGAACGATGGCGAGGACGGCTCACAGTGGAGGAGAAATGAAAAACCACCCAGCATGACCACTGCCTTTGGCCACTGGCCATCTGACAGCATCCGCTCAGTGTATGAATGTGTGTGTCTTTGTGTGTGTGTCAGAGAGAGCTTTGTCTGCATGCAGGACATGACATCAGAGCTCATGTGTCCACTTAATTCACTGCTGTGTCCGTGTTCCACGATAATGAGAATTTGACCGTGCAGGAGGAGAACTGCAGCAGCTGTACGACTCACACATGCACATCATGTCCTCACACTTGTTGACATGGATTTTGCACGCACACGTATCAATACAGAGAAGAGGTTTTGGGAATTTTGAAAGGCAGCACAGCTCAAGCTTTGTTCTGTTCCTCTCAGGGCGTTTTTTTCCCCCCATGAGCTGAAGGCAGGTTTCAGGGCTCTTTAGTATTCAGTGGCAGTAGTTTTTGCCCTCTCACTGGCTGTGGAAGGGAGGGGAGCGGGCTGAGCAGGTGGACGCTCACATCCTGTAATATGGGAGGACAGTGGGAGGCTGAGAGCTGCACCGTTAGGGGACGATTTCACATCAAGGCTGGTTTTTACTCACAGAGACGTTAATGCAAAATTACACCCGGTGAAAACTCAAGGGATGGATTTGTAATCACTTTTGCTGCAGAGTCTCTGCTGATGCACGTACGGCAGCTACAACAGATCCTTGTGTGCCTTCTCCTAGATGTTCAGTTTTGTTTATCAAGTAATAATCATTCACTCTATTTAAGTTTATAATGCATGCATGTAAAGTGTTTGGTAGCGGGATGGTTCCAGTAACTCAGGACATTTTAAACCAGTTTTTATGTGGTGTAAAAGAATGATTTAAGAGTTCATTTGGAAAAACCGAAGAAGGTCATTTTTAACCAAATGTGACTGATTGCACCTGAGGTCATTATTAGGATGCATTATTTGAAAGAGTTATATTTGCAAACAAAGTCTCCAATTTTGATGCTCCTTGAAGGTTCCACCTTGCGAGTTAAAGTAGATGGTGACGTGGTTGAGTGCCTGT